CATGGGTAGCGGTCAGGGGTTGGGGTCATTGCTGGACAGTAGTAGCCAGGCATACAGTTCTGTGGGGGACTGATGTCCACTCCTGAAATCAGATACCTTCATATTTTATTTCTATTCACAGGATCACAGGATAAAATAAGTGACAAAAGTTATTATTCTGCATAAGGCAAAAAAACTGATAACTAATTTTCAATTTTAAGGCACCAGTCTAAATAATAGAGATTGAGAGTCACTGCCACATCTTTGACTCAAGTTTGTAATCATTTAACTTTTGGTCAGCTGAATGCTGACTGATTGGTTCTTAAATTCTACCAAGCTGACACTCAGTATCAACAATTTTATTTTCTATTGCTGTTAGTGAAACTGCACAGGGGTTTGTTCCACAACTGAACACTGCTCAAATCCGTTTAATCAAAGTATCATTTCCATGTCACCACTTCTCAGCACATTTGAGAAAATTTAACTGAACACTTATGAATATACTATAATATTCCTTGGGTGTCAAGGTACAGTGGTCATCCTGATAACATTACCTGTCCCCCATGAGCAGTAGAAACCAGGTGGACATGGGTCACACTCTTCAGCACTGGTCAAGTCAGTACGGCCAGTGTAGGTGCCAGGTTTACATGGGTACTGGTCTGGGGTAATGGTGCCATTAGGACAGTAGTAACCTGTTTGTATCAAATCATTATCAGTAGAGATAACTTCATCATGTATTATTCACACACACACACACACACACACACACACACACACACATATTCAAATATGCCTTTATACATTCTTGCTTAATATCCAAACCAGCACAAATATGAACACATATACACACATGCATAGTCATAGACACACAAACACAGAAACATTCAATACATACATACAAAGAGAACATAAGCACAATAAACATACCAACACACAAATTCAAACATTCTCCCTCATACCCAACAGCGGCAACACTTGTACACACTTGTGCAAACACACATACAAAGGCAATGTATAGACACACATTTATTAAACATGCACATGCACAAATGTACACAACATTGACACATGCCTGCATGTGCATGCGTATGCATGCATGCACACACACACACGCACACACACACGCACACACACACACACACACACACACACTGTTTGGATGGAGAACTGATAAGATTTTCCTGAAAGCAATGTAGCTATTAGATGAAAATGAAAAATAACATTCATTACTAAAAACTCACAATAAAACTACTTTGGGTCACTTAAATAAAGACTCCTCATCTTAACCATACATGTAACCAATGATACCAAGGAGCAAAATTTCATTCGTATGCCTTAAGAATGAAGATAATGTATATTCACCATAACCACTGAAAAGTATCTAAACATGATGTAGATAATTAAAATAAAATAAAAAAATATGGAAAAATATCTCATTATTAATCAATCTTTAAGTTAAAAAATTAATAAACTCTACCTTGTGAGCATGGAACAGTGACATTATATTGTCCAATCAGAGGGCACGCCCACCCTGCGTCACACAGCTTACAGTTCAACTCATGCCCCGTCCTCTCCAGGGGGTTATAATACCCTGGTTCACAGGGGAGGGGCGTGACCCTCGGGGCGTTAGCAGATCCCCATGGACAGTAGTGACCCACTGGACAGTCTACACACTGGGTGCTGTCTGGAGTGAATGAATGGGAGAGATGAGTACAAGAAATAAAAATATCATTTTTAAATGACACTGTTATAGAGTGGTGGATGAAAAATTGCATTGGAGGCATGACACTACTGGTATGTCACAAGTGTAATTAGCCTTTGAGAATTCTATGTCTGTTGCACTAATGGAGAGAATATCAGCCATGAAAAAAAAAAAAGAAACTTGAGGTTCAAAATCATATTAAATGAATATTGTTAATATATTTTATAAGAATACTTTACTGAAACTGACAAATACCAAAAGTGCAGATGTGTGTCTCACTTACTGATGAGTCCAGTAGCATTGCTGTAAGTGCCTATAGAACAAGGGTTGAGGAATCCTGTTCCCTGACTGGCATGGCACCAGAAACCAGCTGGACAGTCCAGGCCATCAGTGGATGACCCAGCTGGACAGTACTTTCCTTCTGGGCACGGCAGACACAGGGAGGCACTAGTTAAGTTTGTGACAAGGCTGTATGTCCCACCTGAGATGTATGTGGATGAAAGTTGAATTATCATTGGTGATTTAAATTTGGGTCCCTCTCACACACTCTTCATTTACTCAGTTAGGATGGAGAACTTATAAGATTTTGTTGAAATCAATAAAACAATTAGCTGATACAGTGCATTAAGCAAAACTAATGAATAAAGGGCTATTTGAAATTAAATATCGTTCATAATAACTGTACAATGCCATGGTATAAAAGACAACCTATAGATGGAGGCACTTACCAGGACAAGCATGCTGTGTTGGGTTCTGGGTTCCCAGCAGACAGTAGTGGCCAGCAGGACAGGGACTACTTTCAAACCCAGTGTTACCAGTGCCCTGACAGTAGTAGCCTATAAAAAGTGAATGAAAGATAGAGTGGAAGATCTGGTACAATCGTTTCATTGAAATAAAAGGGCTGAATTGCACTTTTATTTTCATGTGATTTTGAAAATTACCATTAATCTTTTTCTCAGTAAATCTGATTATCATTGGAAATAGAATAATGAAATAAAATCCATGTTTAAATGACATAAAATAAACATCTCTAGTTAACTGAATGCAATTTCTATTAACAACACTCTTGACAAAACAAATGGCATTCCAAATATAATATTTCCTCATTTGAACTGTTTCTAGTCACTCTGATGGATGGAAAGTTAAAATGGTATTTCCAAATCAATCTATATAAAAATTATATAAAAATACAAAGAGATTGCATCTATTTCAACAAACCTGGAGGACAAGGCAAGCAGTCAGCAATGGAAGTGGATGCATTGTTGGGATTGTATGTTCCTGCTGGACATCCAAAGTAGTCCTTTCCATCGCAAAAGCCACCAGGGTCACACTCGGTGCCATTGGGACGTGGGGACGTTGACCCAGCTGGGCAAGTGTAACCAGCGTCACAGGCCAGGCACGCTGTCATCAGGCCTGTAGAGTAGGTGCCTGGTGGGCACTCTGCCTTGGCAGTGACTGAAATATGAGATTTCTATTGAATTTCTATCCATTCACAGCAAATATTGGAGATAAAATGTATGTGACTGATGGAGCGTTAGAAGATAATCTGTCCTGGCTGTGACTGAAAATACATCATGACAAATACTGGAAACTGAATGAGCTTGACAGGGTAACGAAAGACCTCATGGAAGTAGATACAATATGACACAAGAGATTGTGCTGAAGGATTATTATTATATCTGGATGGACAGTGAAGCTGATGCCTAGCATTTAGCATGAAACAAAACACACTTGGCTATAGGCAGTCTGGAAACCAGCTTTGACACTGAGTTTCATCAACCAGTCAGGAATAAAACAAAACTGCCCAGCCTCAACTTTAATTGCAATGACTCTTATCTAAAATCGTTCTCCTAAGCATCCCCTTGACCTACATGCTGTTGAAGGGCAATAGTATCCAGCTTCACATCCAGTACAGTTAGTAGAGACAGCAGCACTGTAGAAACCATTTGGACACCTCTCTTGGCCAGTGGTGGTAAAGGGACACTTATAGCCTTCCACGCAGTCTGTACAAGCTGTTTTACCCCCCAGAGCATACTGTCCTGGGTCACAGGCAATCCTGAATAAAACAAATAAAAATCAGTGAAATGTTATGTTTTATGCATTGTGATATGATGTTCAGTGTAACACATAATATAATTTTTTTTGCATATAATGGAATTCCTTAAAACTACGCACCTCACATTAAATGTGTGTAATTGTATGGTTGAATATTGTATACTTGACACCGTGTATTATTTCATTCAGTTGTAACATCATTTGTAAATTTGATTTTTTTAAATGAAAATTGGAATTGCTAATATCATAGAAATTAATTAGTTTACTAATGAAGTTAATTAGTTTGCTTTAAGAATATCTCTCTCTCTCTCTTAGCAGTAATTTTACACAGAAAATAACTCCATCTATATACCTACCTGCTGTCTGAATCAGTCGCTGCGCAGTAATACCCAGGTGGACACATGGTGCAGCTGGACGCATTTCCCACAGAAAAACTCCCACTGGGACAGTTAATTTCCACTGCTGCCAGAATGCTTGGGCAATACTTCCCTGCTGGGCATGCTGTACACTCAGTCTGTCCACCAACGGAATATGTACCAGCACTGCACTGGACTTTGTAATCCATTGTGGTATTGGGGCATTCATACCCCGCTGGGCATCTTGTGCAAATGGACGCACGTGCCTCGGAGAACTCCCCTGGCTGACATTCCACCATCCCCGAGCCGTCAGCATTGGGGCACTTCCAGCCCGCGGCACATGCTGTACACTCAGACACATTGCCTGCAGAGATGGTGCCAAGTTCACAGGCCAGCTCTATTGACTCACTAAAGTAAAACATGAAATATTAATACATTATAACTATCTAATTGAAACATGAAATATTAATACATTATAACTATCTAATTGAAACATGAAATATTAATACATTATAACTATCTAATTGAACAAATCAAGTAGCATTTAATGATTATAAAATGTGAAATGTGAATACCTGCTGCCAGGTAGAAATATCACAATATCTGCTCATGGCAGATTTACAAAAACAAAATTCCAATATATACTGAATTAATTTGGTTTGTCTTTTGAAATTATCTCCTTTTAAGATTAAAATCAGCCAATGATTACTATCACTGTACACAGAGTATCATTCAGCACAAGGTAAAGTCTGCATATTTAAAAGAAGGAATATTTTACTACTGAAAGTCGGTTCCAAATGTATAAATATCCTTTGATACCTATACCAGCTCATGCTAGTCACTAAAAAACAACACCAGTCACTAAAAACATTATCACCCTCCACAGATCCTATTATTACCACAATAACTTACGTGGTGCTGGGACAGTATTTCCCAGCTGGACACTCAGTGCATATCTCACTGCCCAGGATGGAGTAGGACCCCGCCCAGCAGGCTGTATTATGAAAGGGGTTAGTATTGTCTGGACAAGCATATCCAGCTGGACAGATGGTGCAGGCTGTCTGACCAGCAGTGCTCTGGTAGCCTGAAATGGACAGAGGTCAGTCCTTGGTGAAAGATTTTCTGAGTATAAATTGGTGTGTCAAAGTTTGGTTATATTTCTTATTTCATACAATATTCAAATGTTATATTAATACAATATTAATCACTAGTTGCCTTTATAAATTCACATATTTTTACTCGATGAATAAATCTCCATATATTGGGATCTTTTGTAGGATTGTACATATAAACAAATAATGATAAGAAGGGTTGGAAACTGGTGAAGCTGCATTTTAATTCATTAAAAATGTAAATAATATCTGCTTTTATCATATAAGCTATAATGATAGACTAAAAAAACTGTAACTGTACTTGCATGTGTGCGTGCGTGCATGCGTGTGCATGTGTGTGTACCTGTGTTACAAGCTGATCCCACAGTCTCTGTGCTGGGACATTCAAAACCAGCAGGACATATAGTACAGTTGCTGGCCGTGGGGTCCACATTGTAGAAACCAGCAGGGCAGGCCACAGGGGTGCTCCCCTGGTCAGCACAGTAGTATCCTGGAAGAGGCAAATGTCAAATTTATGTCCTCATACTTTGGAACATGACACTTTGTGAATGCCCTGTCCTATTTTGTCTAATACTATCTCAGTGTATGCTTAAAACAGGCCACATTTAGCAGATTTTAAATTAAATCAAATGAAAAGATGTTTTCTTTGAGATAAAAACAGTACATTTATTATAAGCATGGTATCTTTGATGGAAATATTAGAAATAATTATAAGACAAGGCTAAAGCATACTGTATACCAAAATGTTTCTTATTTCATCTTAAAAGACACACACCTTTCTTTTCCTTTCCTCTTTTAAATTCTGTATTTTAAGTCTTTGTATATCAGGTAAAATGTCACATCCTATATTCATCACTTACCAAGTGGGCATGCCGTGCATGCTGTGGCGAGCCCTGTAGAGTACGTGCCAGCACTGCATGCTGTGGCAGCCGAGGCAGTGCACGAATACCCTGGCGGACAGGCCAGACAGGCAGTCCACCCCGTCTCAGAGTAATAACCATCAGCACAGGCAATCTCCACGGTAGCACCTATTGGACAAAAGGTCCCCGCGGTACAGTTTGTACAGGCTGTCTCTGAAATGTGAAAGATTAAGAAACGATGTGAATGTATATTGTGAGTGCATCATAAGATAATTAGAGAGAAAGGTGGTTAGACATCTTTTGGTGTAAAAAAAGATACTATGCACCAACTTTAATCATATATATTTGTACCAACAGGTATGGAAGTCTTTCTCTCACCAAGAAAAAGAGTGAAGACTTATGAAATATCCATTCCAAATCAATCTTTTGCTCTAATATGTATAATCATTTCCACTAATGAAGAAAGAAACTTGGCTCTGTAATATGATTGACTTTTAATTCAGTTGGTTAGATAGCAAGATCTAAAATTCATTTAGATATATATGTCTCTTTTTATCATTTTGCTACACAACAAATATAACATATAAATTATATGAGTTTAGTATTCATATATATGTATAAACAAACACTGTCAATATAATTGATATTCTAATTATGTTAACACAGGGAATCATGAATTTAAGTAACAAACTAATCTGTGTCTCTTCTTCAAACACCTACATAATCATATTAAATTAGATATCCAGCTGGAAAGTTGAAGTTATGTTCCACAACAGCAGACTGCTGAAGATATTTATTGTGGCCATAATTCCAGTTTATAGATTTATGGGCGGTGCCACATGTACAGCAATAATAATCCCAGTGAAGTGGATTTACATGGATACACAGATAAACCTGTTATAAACTGTAGCACGGTTACAGCCCTTTCCCTCGTATCTTCCTAACAAAGTGACAAATTATGCCGCCACTGTAACAACCAGCCTCACAAATAATATTACTATTGAATCAGATGTTATTTTGGAAAATGTTGCCAGCAGTTTTCATGACGCATATATTATTGCTGCATTATATTTAGCCAATTATGTCTGAAAGCTTCTTTTTTTAAGTTTTAAGATATTCTCTTAGTTATTTCCAGCATATGCTTGTACATTACACTTCCACTATGCATACAATACCAAGTGTAGTATAGTATTACTTCTAACCTATCACACACACACACACACACACACACACACACACACACACACAACACACACACACACACACACACACACACACACACACACACACACACACACACACACACACACACACACACACACACACAC